AACATTCTCCAACCAGGATGTTTCGCTAATTATTCCACCGGATTCTGCTCGCAAGTAGCCATGTGTGCAGTGCCAGTACCACCTCGCCAACTCGGAGGCACATCACTTTTTCACTTGTTAACCCCTCTCGACACGAAACAACCACAGCCCGTGTGAACAGTTGCGACCCCATTGTTGGCGAGCACATGAAATTGCCAGATGAGCACTGTTACACCTCCTCAACACGACATCCCGGAACTTCAGGTCACAATGCATCATGAAAACTGTTGCAGCTCTGCCGAGCCCACTCCACTGACACTAATTGACCTGTGCCGCAATGTGCCGGTTATTGCCGGTTGCTGGAGTTGAGACACGCGAGGCATCTACTCGGCGCTCGTGCCATGGTGGTATCCTCAAAGCGGATACGTGACTGGCCCAGACGTTTGCTTCTGTAGGACTGTGGCTTCAAGCCAAGCTGTTGCAAGCACAACTTCGCGACAGAACTGATAAAGCTGCTTCAGAAGAATCAGACCGCTGCCTTTCGCCGGTGAACATCACTGTCCGGAGATCACATCTGCCATGCTCCATTGGAAGGTATCGTCACATCAGTGGGTTGGCCTGCCACTCGACGATATTCGGGCCACGGCTAAGAATTTTTGTATTATCATTCAGTCGAGTCCACGTGCATGCTGGGTTGGCAGGCACAAGACCTCGACGTCTTGGTTTCGCTCTTCCTCTGTCTAACTGAGGCTTCTCACGCTGGCAATGGCTGGCATTAGTGGATCCTTGTGCGGGTGTATCTTGAAGGCCTGACGCTGTAGCGCCCACACTGGGGAATCGCATAGTCACATTCCTGAAGCCTTCCGCTCTTTGGTTCTGTTTGTCAACGAGCATCTTGTGAGGACACCGGCTGGGGGTTATCGGACCCGACATGCAACGAATAATCAACTTCTGAGCATTCACACTGGGGGTTTTGCATTTCGGAACAGGGCCTGGTATCTATACCAGCTGCTGCGAAGTGCCCACCGATCTAGAGACATCACTGGGGCTAGCATTTCGGGACCGGGCTACACTGATTCTGCATCGACACTGGTCGTTTGTTTGGGGTCTACATTGTGCCAACACATGGCGTTTGACATCTGCTGACTGTCTTTACTCTTTGTCCTTTGACAAACGTTGCGATGCCGATGCTTCGGGCAGCATAAGACTGGCAGGGAAAACTCGGTCGGTGGTTCCAGCCGGTATACTCGAGGAGCACAACGCACCGCCCGATTCGCTGCAAAACGCAAGGACAAGAAGCTAGCCGTGCCGAAAGCATCAGGTTTGGTCGGGTCTGGAAGCTTCCGGTCTGGACGGTAAAACGTAGCGTCTAAACTGGTGTTTAGGATTAATCGACGTGAAGGTCCGCAGTGCTGAGAAACTCTCTGAAAGGAATTCCGCACTCGGGTCATGTGTGTTTGCGCAGACTGGTATGTGTTACAGTTGGCCCATGTTGACCCTTGTATCTTTCGCCGCCTTCGCAAGGCCCGCTCTACAAGTAAGCAGTAGTAGTTGCGGTCTTATCGAAGTTGGAGCCAACATGGCTAATTAATCCATGCGACAGATGTTTTGTGCGTAGGGCTGCTTGGGGACCTACACTTCTTCGCAAGCACAGAAATTGGTTGCTACATCTCCCAAGCTCTCTCAAATCCATTCTCGCCACGACAGGCTGTGGAACGCTTAGAAGGCAACGAAGCGACACGGCCTGTAAAGTCTGCTAGGCAGCTGATAATTTGTCATTGTCAATGGGCTCAAGCTCTACTTTTGGCTCAGGCACTGAAGCGAGCGGCGGAGGCGCAGAGAAGTTGGTTTCGTATATTGTCGAGCCGTACGGGCACTTCGGGCATATTGTTCAACTCAAGTTTTTCCAGGCTGCTGAATTCAAATCGCGGCGTGAATATCCAACATGTTTTTGCCACGTTAGGAACGCGAGTACTACAGAAACATGGTCATACTGTTTATTTGCCTCGGGCTCGGGTTGCAGTTTGCTTGAGTTTCTGTCGAGCCCCTTTATGTATAAGGCTTAAAACATGCCAAGACCACCCTTGGGATTAGACGGGCTCGGCCCCAGAGTCTAAAAAAACGAAAGTTCAACTCCTGAGTAATGAACGCAATTAAGAAAGAGAAGGTCGAACAGGCATTTGTACTCAAGTCTGATGCTGCGGCCAGGTGTGACTCTGTGTTTTCAGGAAGCAATCCAAAAGAAGCTCTCCAGAAAGCAATAGGATCTCTTTGTCAAAAGCATCTTGACGGAAACAATTTCGAGAAGTTTCTGCAAGGCTAAGGGACAACCTTTCCCTCCCCCGCCGAACTTTTTGAAGTAGAGAAGCAAGCAGACGCAGACTTGTGAAAGTCGGAGCCGCTGCTACTGTTTCTACTACTCTATGGCTGCAACAAAAGCTGTGTGACTGTACCAATACTGTACCAACCGCTACTAACTACTAATGCTTACTACCACACTACTGCAACTACTACTACTACTACTACTACTACTACTACCGTATTACTACTACGACTACTACTACTACTTCTACTTCTACTACCACTAC